GTGAGAATTAGATGACAACATTGGTGTCAGTGGGAGGAATAGTGCCCTATCATTGGTGTCAGTGGGAGGAATAGTGGCCAACATTGGTGTCAGTAGGGAGAATAGTGCCCCATCATTGGTGTCAGTGGGAGGAATAGTGCCCTATCGTCGGTGTCAGTAGGGGGAATAGTGGCCAACATTGGTGTCAGTAGGGGGATAGTGCCCTATCGTTGGTGTCAGTAGGGGGAATAGTGGCCAACATTGGTGTCAGTAGGGGGAATAGTGGCCAACATTGGTGTCAGTGGGAAGAATAGTGCCCTATCGTTGGTGTCAGTGGGAGGAATAGTGCCCTATCGTTGGTGTCAGTAGGGGGAATAGTGGCCCATCATTGGTGTCAGTAGGGGGAATAGTGGCCCATCATTGGTGTCAGTGGTAGGAATAGTGCCCTGTCCTGGTTGTCAGTGGGAGGAATACTGTCCCATCATTGAAATCATTGAGAGGAATAATGCGCCAAGCACTGGGTAAAGGCAAGCACTGGCTGTAGTGTGAAGACCACTGCATTAGATGATTCATGTCATAGGGTATTCAGTATAGATCTGAAAGGTATATTTGTTAGTAGAATTTTGTTGAAGTGAACTCTAGGCCAGGGGTGCCCATTAGGTAGATCGTGATCTACCAGTAGCTCTCAAAGCTGATGCTGGTAGATCACGAAGGGTGTGAATGGTGGCCCCTTTATTCCATTTTGGTCTATTTATTTAGCTGTGCACACATGATTTCCTATTAGTCCGAGTCTGCTGAGCCAAGCTCCCTGACACCTTTCTGGTGGGTACTGGTGGTTGAAGTGCTATGTATTACATGAAAGAATATTAGTTTACACAGACTGTTGCACTGCACTGTTTGCAAAATACAGCAAGGTGAGCCAGGAGAGAGAGTGAGGAGAGACAGCCAGGAGAGAAAATGAGGAATGACAGCCAGTAGAGAGAGAGCGAGGAAAGACAGCCAAGAGAGAGAGGAGAGACAGCCAGGAGGATGAGCAAGGAGAGACAGCCAGGAGAGACAGCCAGGAGAGAGAGCCAGGAGAGACAGCCAGGAGAGAGAGCGAGGAGAGACAGCCAGGAGAGCGAGGAGAGACAGCCAGGAGAGAGAGTGAGGAGAGACAGCCAGGAGAGAGAGCGAGGAGAGACAGCCAGGAGAGAGAGCGAGGAGAGACAGCCAAGAGAGCGAGGAGAGACAGCCAAGAGAGAGAGAGCGAGGGAGGGTTTTTTTTAGTTGGTAGATCTCATGTAGCTCGTCATTTGATAAGTAAATCTTAACACTAAAAATTGTGGGCACCCCTGCTCTAAGCAGATATACTGATGCTGGCCATCAGAATGAGGACATCTAGTGGCAGAAAAAAATGAATGAGGTGAAATATCCTCCACTGGAGGAGAATAAGACAATGTACAGGCTGATGTACATGTGTCAAACTGTTAAGAGTTAATGGTGTTAGAAGGGGGTATTCTTAAAAGAAAAGTACCTAAAATCATATTAAAGTATTTAACAGAGCTTCAAACTTGTGCGAAAGAAGTGGTGTGCGCCATTTTCCAGAATTACTCGAAAAAGAGTACTTATGTATTCTATACATCTCCAGCAGTGACTAGTATTAAATAAATGTGGTTTGTTATATTTTGTACCAAAGCAGTGGTACTCGTATTTTATAAGATGCCCCAACAGAGAATTTAGAACTTCCCAGATCAGTTTCCCTATATGATACATCTCAACTAATATAGACTCTGACTAGTACATATAAAGATGTTACAAAAATAAATCTCCAAGATACTACATATCACGTGAGGTTGAGGAGGCCACTGAAAATGTAGCCACTGAAAGGGTGTGAATTTGTAGGTTCTTGGTATTTTAGGAAGCATAGTGCCTATGACCATTACCATTTTGTGAGCTGGTGTATGCCAAGCTTTATATGCTCACTGTGGTTAGTGAGTCTTGCTAACCATCACATCTTCTACACTTCTACACAGCAAACTGAAAGTCCCAATAAAAGTTGTCCCTGTAAAAAGGAAAGTATATGCTTTCCTCTTCTGGCATCCGTGCTGCTGAATGATGAAAAAGCACCAGCTAAAGTTCCTTCAGAAACCTACTCTTCCAGCAGTGTCAATGTCCTAGTCTTCTGCTGGGCCCAGTGGTCTGTCCTGCTGATCCCTATGTCATTCAAGGACACAGTAGTGATGGAGTGGTCATTGAGAGGAACCATTGAGCACAGCAAGGGAGATTCTTTGGCATTGCAGGTGGCAGAAGATGTAATCATTTCCTTTCTTCTTTACAGGAATGCTCTTATTTGGACCCTTAGTTTTACATTAACCAAGTAAGATGCGTTGAGTGAAGTCGGGATTTAAAATGAGTTGTAGATTTCTTTATGAATACTGATATTTCCAAAGCAGAGATTTCCTACTTTGGTTTTCATGTTTTATTGAACAGTCCTGTGTATGTTTACTACTGAATATTGTATTTTTTCCTATATTGTATATATCTTGCACAGCTCCTCAAAGATTGAAATGATCAATCCCTTCTGTATTAGGATACTTTCACACATACGCTAAAAGGGGGTTGCTTTAAAACTATTTTTAAGGGCCTGACAAACACCAGCTAAGAAAGGATGTATCTAAGGTGTACATGAAAGAGTCCTTGGCAGAGCCAGATCACCTACAAGGCAAGGTAGGCAGCAGACTGAGACCCAATAGATGACTCATTCTACTACAGTAAACCAGTTGGATAGTGAAAGTGGTCTAGGCTGTGAATCTTTCCCAGGGAGGATGCACCTGTAGGCAGTTGGTGTCTTATGGAACAGGTAATGCTTCTAGATGTGCTTCTCTTTGCCTCTTGAAATCCTTATCGATGTAAGTCAAATGGCTGTGGGACAAAGCTGGTACCTTCCCTAGGGCCTCATTCTGCCCTAATCTGTCTCTGGTCTTTGGCCAAAAATATTTTCTTTCCCAACTTCGCACATTGATAATTGTTTTGAAGGAAACACTGAGTTAAATTGTTTCTGTTAATAGAATTAGTGAAGTCCGTTTATAGCAGACAGTTCAAAGGGCGAGCTCAGGTTTGAGCTACAGGTGTTGAGCTTCAGGCATCAAGCTTCTGACGTCAAGCTTCAAGCGTTGAGTTTCAGGTGTTCAGCTTCAGACGTCAAACTTCAGGTGTTGAGCTTCAAGCCTCAAGCTACAGACATCAAGTTTCAAGACTCAAGCTACAGACATCAAGCTACAGGCGTTGAGCTTCAGCCGTTGAGCTTCAGGCATCAAGCTTCAGCCGTTGAGCTACAGGTGTTGAGCTTCAGGCATCAAGCTTCAGCCGTTGAGCTACAGGTGTTGAGCTTCAGGCATCAAGCTTCAGGTGTTGAGCTTCAGGCATCAAGCTTCAGGTGTTGAGCTTCAGGCATCAAGCTTCAGGTGTTGAGCTTCAGGCATCAGACTTCAGGTGTTTAACTTCAGGCATCAAGCTTCTGGCGTCAAGCTACATACATCAAGCTACAGGCATTGACCTGCTGGTGTCAAACTGCAGGCATGAAGCTTCCGTTGAGCGTTTGGCACTGAGCTACAAATGTTGTGCTTCGGGAAGCTTCACGCATTGAGCTCCAGGAATCAAGCATCAGGCATTGAGCTTCAGGCATCAATATACAGGTGTTGAGCTTCAAGCCTTCAGCTAAGCTTGAGACATCAAGCTGCAAGCATTGAGTTACAGCAGCCTATGCTCTTATAAATGAACAGGCACAATATAAAAGCATTTTATGTTGGTTATTGAGCATTTTGGATCTTGGATCTTCGAGGGGAGCAGCGGCAGCCCACCGTTTTGATTCCACCCCACCAAATGTCAGACTGCAATAACACAAAGCTGCTTATATAATTCACCATGACATGCACTTTGGTTTTAATAATCATATTATTCCATAGTTTTCTCAGGATCCTTATTGTAAGCTGGGTACTGATATCTATACATAGACTCATGTATATTGTTATTTATAAGGCAACGTGTTATCTGTATTTCATATATCACACAATTCTCTTCATTACTGAGAGATTCCTCTACAATGACTGCCAGGGAGGGAGCTCAGTGATAAACACAACACAGAGCAGAATCCATCAGCCTGCCAGAGATCACCACACATATCGCTGCACTCTGATGCATCTCTCCCATGGCAACAGAACCCAGTCACGACCTCTTTCTGATTGGTCACTCAAATTTCCTCACCCGCCTCCACACCCCCTCCCGCCCTCTTATTGGTCAGCCCACATTCGGCTCTCAATAGCGATTGGGCGTGCATGATGTCACCGCTTGAGCGGATTGGCGGTCTCTCGCCTCTGGTGGGGGAGGGTTCCCCGCTCTCAGCCCTGTGACGTCAGACACGGTGGCCGCCATTTTGAAGTGGAGAAAGTGAAGCGCGCCGTGCTGGGGAAGCCGCCGTTCTCGGTCCCTGTAGCGGCATCATGTCGGAAAAATACGAAGGGGACGTGACCTTGGAAGAGAGCGGCGAAGAGAAGCAGGTGAAGGCGTTCGCCAGCCAATGGGGCCGGAGCGGCAGCTGTGAAGTGCAGGGGCCCTCGGGAGCTGGCTCCACTGAACGTCTCCCTCAGTGGGCGCCGCAGGAGCCTGGTGCATTGTGGGAGCTGGCATTGTGGGGGCGGGGCTGTCACCTTATGAGGGGTAACATTTTTATGCGGAGGCCTCAAATGTCTCATTATTCTGGGGTCACATATGGAGGAGGGGGGTGATGATGTCATATTGTAGGGGCCCCTGGGAATAATATGGCTGCATGCTTCTGATATAGTATGTTTGTGGGCGGAGTCCCTTGATGCATTTCATAAGAGCTGGGTCACGTCCCCCGAGCTCCTCCCTGAGAGCCGTGCCACGTCCCCCGAGCTCCTCCCTGAGAGCCGGGTCATGTCCCCCGAGCCTCTCCCTGAGAGCCGGGTCACGTCCCCCGAGCTCCTCCCTGAGAGCCGGGTCACGTCCCCAAGCTCCTTCATCCCATTCGCTGATCCTGTCAAAAGATCTGTGAGTGGATGACTCTGCTTAGTGGGTGGAGCCACACACCTGTGCCAAATACAAATTTGTAAAGAAGCCTGCAGGGAGACTATGGCCGCCAACACAGGCCCTAAGTTGCGCACACAACCAGTTCTCACAGGTCCTGAGTGTAGTTTCCTCCTGTTCTAGAAATGAGTTTAGGTTTGGACCAAGAGCGGTCTGAACTTGAGCTCCTCAGAACAAGGAGGAGGACACCCAATCAGCGGTGGGCCGGGCTTTCCCTTGTCGTTTTCCATATATAGCCAAATTAGGTAAATGTATTTTACCATATATGGGCATGCAGCCATATAAGGTCAGTGATGTCACTGCATCCCGCCCCTTTGCTTATGTCCAGCTACAGGCATGGAATTCCTGACCAGCAGGTGTTTGGGTGGCACAAAAGGAGCCTCATTCCAGGTTCGGACTGAGTTTGGGCCAATCCTGAGCTCATCCCTAGTGTTGGCCTAGATGGCTGCTAGATCGGCACCCTGAGCAAGTCTTAATCATGAGCATATAAACTCACCCCTGGATCTGCTCCATTCAACTTCTACCTCCACAAGCCCTGATGAAGGGAGATCAGTGAAGCCCCTGAAACGCGTTGACTATCTTCATTGCTTATTTATTGTGACCAATAAAAATCTAACTGGACTGTTTACCATACATTTGGCTCTCTCTCCACTGCACAAACCAGGCCTGGAACTGGGCTGTAACACCGGGATTGTGTTTAGGATGTGCATTGTTATTGTAGCCGGTTTTTAGGACCTGACCGCAAATCTTCTGCAACCAAGGTGACCACTGTACCTCGGTGACAGATCTTGACCGGATCCATAGCGTGACATGGACCTTAAGTTGCCACGTGGTTGAATAGCGCAGCAGATGCTGGAGACCGATGGCTGTTGGATGCAAGAAAGGTTCCTCATCTGTTACCGGAGGAATTGTATTATACTGGAACATCCATTTATTCTCCATGTCCTCCACAATGGGGAGAGATGTGCAGATTGGTCTCAGTACTGGGGAACCTTGCATAGTGCAGGGGTGGGCAACTCCATCTGTTATGGAACTACAATTCCCATGAGGCATTGCAAGTCTCTGCCAGCCACAGGCATGCTGGAATTTGTAGTTAAACCACAGCAGGAGTGCCAGAGTTGCCCACCCCTGCCATAGTGTATGGTGAGTGATTGCAGGAACAGATTGAAGACTGATTTGTGGATCACATGCACTGTATTTGATTGTATTGTTCTGAAGGTTTTGGTGCTGTAAAGCAGTTGGCTATTAAAGTGTGTCCTCATTATACTCATTACTCCACATGTGTCACCTGATAGTACATTGCACCAGCTTGTAATATATAAAGCTGGGCTAATCCTGCTGGAGGGATTTGTGTACTACTATTACCAATGTTCTGCTTATCATTGCTGCTCTCTGAACTTGGGACAATTTACACAGTGCTTTGTTTGAGTTTTGGGCATAGCTCACAGCAGTCTGACAGATAACCGTGTTCCATTAATCTAGTAAACAGGCGCGGGGGAATTTAACAAGTGCCGGAAAATAGAGCAATCTTTACAGATGACCTCCACGTAGGTTTTAGGAGTGACCTTGTGCTTCACTAGTTCTACAGCAACAGGTAAATGGAACCCCATGTAGCCAGTTATTGACTAGGGATGAACCCGATCCGAACCTGAGCTCTTCCGAACGCGGAAGGGACATGGGGCCACCCCCACCAATTAGCTGTGGCCAGGCACTCCCTACCCACAGCTGCACATAAACAAAGGGATGGGATGCTTGTGCTGAAATCATGAACCTTTTATTGCCACCTTAGGTCAATGACATCACTGCACCCACGTCCATTTGCTTACATGCAGCCGTGGGCGGCGAATTTCCTGATTGCAGCTGATAGTGTAGCAGCAAAAGGCGCTTACTTCTGGGTTCGGAGAAGCTCAGGTCCAGTCCAGATCCCTATTCCTGGCCCATATGGGTCCAGCTGCGTGCTGCTGTCAGGAGGGGTGATCATGTGCAGGGACTGAGACATATGATTGCTATTATTGGCTACGAGCCACCCCAACTGGAGGCCAAAGCAAGTGTAATCACTGTGCCAGTCTGAGCAAGCCAGGAATAAACATAAGGATTTTTACTGGTTAGAAGTAAGAGTTAGTACATGGTCAGTGCAGTACATGTGCAAGCTACTACACCAGTCTGCTTCCCTGCATTTTAAGTTTATAAGTCTTGATAAAGACGGACTGAGCGCCTTTGACTATAAAATAATGATGTTTAGACTTTTATCTCTGATGCAAGACCCGTGAGCGCCTCTAGACTAGGAGTGGGCAACTCCGGCCCTCCTGCTGATGTGGTACTACAGGTCCTGCGAGACATTGCAAGACTGACAGTTACAGGCATGACTCGCAGAGGCATGTTGGACTTTGTAGACAAAGCACAGCTGGAGGGACAGAGTTGCCCACCCTGCTCTATACCTACTTTGGATAAGTTTGGAATTTTTCAGAAGTGATAAAAAATTGACGACATTGGTTCAGCTAGCTGCATGTTTAAAAGGTTGGCCCTTACCCATTTCCAAATCAAGTAAAAACAGTGAAGCGCCACGGACTGTCAGTTCTTAATAGGACTTGCTTTTAGGCATACTGCAGGATGCTGCCCCAAAGAAGCCGGGAAAGCTGGAAATCTAGGAAATAAGCACAAAGAGGGGCGCCTTTCCTGGTGCAGATCACTTTTATTTCAATAAACATAAATAGAAAACCGAATCATACTCACAATCATGAGTGTCACAAAGTCATGAGGTGAGGACTGACAAGATTTCCAAATCAGGTTGATAGTCTTAAAAAATTTGGGAGACTTTACTTAATGACAAGCTGTGCCTTCTTCCTCGTAGTGGATCCCTTGTAGGAGAACGCCGTTCTGGGCATGACAAGAAGTTCATAATATAACTTGGCTTGCCATGCTCGGGGGGCGGTAGATCCCTCTCAGTGTTTCCATACAGCAGTAAAGACCTGGAAGAGGATACGGTTTGGATGGAGTTGATTTTCCCAGAGGTTTTATACTGTAAATGTAATCGGTGATTAAGACCCCTCCGTGCAGTTTTGTAGTTGGCTACTTGGTGTTCTCTTCATTGTGGGTTGCTGGTACTTCACAGCCCCTTCGCCCTCTCACCCGGACAGTGCAGATCTCACACTGTCCAATTGGACATTTCAGTGAATTTTCTCCTCTTATGCCTCTTGTATAACTTCCTACAGTGCTTTGTGAAAGTGCAGAGTAATAGTCATGGGGCTGTTATAGACATGGTGAGCTCAGATAAGTGACGAGCTATAGCATGTGGTCCGATAGTAGATTCTGATGTCGTCTTATCTGAGGATCTTCGCTCTCTGCACAATGTTTTTCTTGTCTCTATCTGACATGTAGGATTACATGGCGGCTCCTCCAATTTACTGGCCTTTGTAAATCCACTAGATTCCTTAAAGGAGAACTATGGGGTCAGGGCTTTTCCCCATAGTTCTCCTTTTAGGGTAACGGGAGGACACAAACTAGCGTCCTTCCGTCACCCTAAGCTCGGTATACCGCGAGCTACAGCTCGTGGTATACTGAAACGCCGGAGCGGATCCCGACATCGATGTCGAGATCCACCCAGCCGCGTGAGTGACAGCTGGCTCTGCCTGTACCTGTCCGTTCCGCCAGTCAAAAAATAAAAAATATACCAGACTTTTCAAAATACCCCTCGGGGGGGGGCAATTAATCTTCACCCTGCTTGTCTCTCTAACAATCCCTTTGTTTCCTTCATTCAAGTTGACTTTTTGTAATATTTGCTCCCATTACATTAGTTCCTAAAACCTGTACTGAACCTGTACTTCTGGAAATGCTGCAATGCTGATCCAGGGACTTAATTTCATTGGGAATTGCTTTCCCAGAGTAAGCTAGCTGGGAGTTGTGGCTTCACTGGCTGCATGCTTGTTTAAGTTGTGTCTGCAAATATTGAAGACAGAGACCATAAGGCAAACAACATTTTCAGAAGGATGTCCGCAAATGGCAGCCTCCATATCTCATATTGAAGGTTGTATTTAAAGGACAATTTCTACCCACCTAATGTACTCTGAGCAACCCAAATGCTAGACTTGATTGGGGCCTAACTTCAATGGTATAGACAATCCATGTCTATTGGAGGTTATTGTGCAGGCATGGGCACAGTCGACGTACGTGGGTACCTGAGTAGGCAAGGAAGGTAGTGAGCGGGGGCTACAGGTTTTTATCGAAATCTGGACTTTTCCATTCAGTTGTATTCTATATCAGAATAATTCTTTCACAAAGTACAGGGTGATCTTCTATTGTTATTCTTAGAGGAAAACTACTTTCACACTGTCGCTCTTTTTTTCTTTCTCTTAAATCAAATGTAATACATGACAAAGGATTGCCAGAGCACTATGGATTATCTAAAGATAAAGCACAGTCTGCGTGCCTTTAGGTTCACTCTTTTATACCTAGGACAGAGCCATCCAATAAGAGAGTCACTGCTCTGACACATTTGTGGTTTAAATTTAAAGCTCTACTCCAGGGAAATTCTTTTTCCCTTGTAGTTGGGCTGGACTCGCACTGCAAGGGTTATTTGCTGGTCTATACCTCGGGGACAGGAGAAAGCTGTTTTACTTTCCTTACCCCCACTCACCTGGAAGTCTTTCTCCTCATCTCCCCCTCCAATCCAGCTGCGAACAGTCCCTCAGCATCCTCGCATACAGTGCAGGGCTATAGGTTCTGCGCTGTACTGATGACGTCAGTGGTACTTGGATTGCTGGAGAAGAGGCTGCGGGGACCGGTCTAGCAGCTTGGATGGAGCCGTCGGGAGCGGGGATCAGGTAAGTAAAACAGTTTTTTTCCTGTCCCCTAGACATAAAAATCCACAGCTAACCACTACAGTGTCGGGGCAACTATTGAACTTGGTGGACAACAGACTGTTCTACAACAAGCAGAGACAGGAAAACGTGAACTAGACTAAAGCTCCACCTGCTGGCTGTGTATTAGACAACATATTCATATGTGATCTTTCATGCTTTCTTTTTAAAGTTCTGTTTTCTTATCCCTGATGATAATCAAAATATAGACAATATTACTATACCTCTTTATATAAGAAAAAAAACCTTTAAAATAATGCATGTGTAGTCTGTGGAGCTTTCTGTAAACTCATGTTAACTCCTGCATTTTATGTTTGTGACAAGGGTACGTGCAATTTTGGCAGTTATATTGTTAATAGAATGAAGGAATTAAAAGGCAAGTGTCATTCGGCAGTCCTGCTTGGCCAATGCATTTCTTTCTTATATCACTATGATCTGTCTTTTAGGATTCCCAGGAGAAGGAAGTAGTTGCACCAGAAAAATCAGAAGAGCAAAAACTGAAGGCCAAATATCCCAATCTGGGGCAGAAGCCAGGCGGATCCGACTTCCTTATGAAGAGGCTTCAGAAAGGGGTAGGTGATCTGTCTGGAGAACATTACCCTTCCCTATGTTTTATATTGATTTGTAGACCTCAGCACTCAAGCTGTGGTGGAACTACAAGTCCCATGAGGCACTGCAACCGACAGAGGCATGATGAGATTTGCCGTTTCAGCACAGTTGGAGTGCCAAGGTTGCCTACCCCTCATGTATCCCTGGCCTTGTAAGATGTTTGATGGGTGGCAGGCTAATTTCTCATTTGCCATTTCCAATCTGCTGAGCTTCCTTCTTTACCACTTCTGCTGGGTTTAGCATCCTGCTTTATGCACATAAAGGCCATGGACAGGAAGGCCAGGTTGTTGAGCTCTATTCTATGGCCACGAGTTTAATTTCTCATCAGTATCCAGTTGTCTCTGAATGCAGCAGAATCTCATCAAAGACCGGAGGCGCAATGGTTTCGCACCGAATACCCTGTCAAGCCAAAAAAGCAAATGGACGGAATGCTTCTGAATGAATGTGTTTGTAGCGGGATAATAATCACGAGGAAGTTGAGCAGATCATAGGTTTTGGATTTTGATCTGCTCCAGTCTGGGATGGGAGTCTGCTCTTCATTATTAGATGTTGCTTTTTTGCCACGTTCCCCGAATTCCTGTGCCTGTAAGTAGGTAGATTTGCTTTATAACATTTAGAACATGTAAATCAGTTTAGTAGATGGCATTTCAGCAATTTTTTAAACTCACAAGTTTCTCATAGTTGTCCCATCAACTTTTTGTTTTCACAATTCACATCTTCCTAAGTCATAAGGCCACTTAAATCAGGTTAGCCATCACTCTCCAGCTATTTTTGATTTACAGGTCCCCAATCCTGCCCACAATAATCTCTGCCATGCTGCCTCTCTGCTCGGTCTTCCACTCCTGGCTGTTGCTGCAAGCTCTTAAGCATTGCATCTTCAGCTTTGGGATATCTAAGGTGATTTTTGTTGCCGAGTCGGTCTCACCCTTCGCCACATCGCTGGCCTAATACCACCGGGATATTTAGTTTTTACCGTAGGAAGCAGATCTTTTCTTTGGCTGAATAAATCAGACCAGTAGGTAATGTTCTCTGTTATATAACACTGCTGACAAGTATTTGTGAACACCGTACTATAAAAAGCTATAGAATGACAGTGGATAGGAAGGGTTAACTGCAAAAGCATTTATTTTTTCCCCCAAAATGATTTTGATGACTGCTTTTTTAATGTTTAATCACACTGCCTGCTTGCATCCTCCTTGCTCATTGATGGGGGCATGCCGGCATATCAAGTGGGTGGTCAGGTGATAATGTAACCCGGCCAGCATGGAACATATTCCTGCATTGATACCAGGGCTCCTACTAGGATTGGGTTGGGGCAGTGAAACCAACAACAGGAGATACAATAACGCCATGTACGAGCACAGGGCTCTGAATCTCCAAGCAAGGAGAAGTTGTACACAACATGACAACTGCTCTGTAATCTGCTTCTGTACCAGGCATGGTCAGGATGAGATAGCAGAAGGGGGACCGGCAGGATCAACGGGTATTTCTAAGCTAGCTTAGAAATGTTCTAGCTGTTACATGACGGGGTCAATGTCAAACTATCACAGCATTTGAGAAATGCCCTGGAAAGGGAGTGGATGTAACATGACGGTATTGAGGTGGTTAAAGAGACCCTGTCACCAACCTAAAAAGAAAAGAACAAATGCTAGAGGGCATAATAAAGGATTATCTGGTAGAATTTGTTACAATCAAGTATTCTAAATGCTTCCTTTTAGCGTTTTTTCTTTTCTGTAGACCATTTTTATTGATTTGCTTCTGAACTTGTTTCTGAAACTCCAGAAAATGTCAGTCCCCGTCACAGCCCCCTTCCTGCACATCATAGCCCTCTCCTCTGAGAGTGTCTAATTACTGTTTGTGCTGGCCCAGCTCCTTCACACCTCACTACACCTTTTTATGTAGGAGTGAAAGGGAATACTATAACATGTTATATCAGATATACCATGACCTGGATGAAATGAGAACCTTCACAGACACAATAACATGTTGTTACTTAGGTGACAGCTTGGAGTCTTTTGGGGCTGCTAACATCACATCCAAGATGGCAGCGCCCAGCAGTCTCAGGGCTTTTGGTGTCTCTACAAGGGAGGCTTTATAGGTAAATAACATGCAAAAAATACATTAAATGATCATATTTTATGGGAAGGTTGTTCTGGAACCCTGGCTGCAATGTATTCTAGGTGCATTGTCCACGTGGCTTCTGGATCAGTTCAGTAATGCTGTGCAGCAGGGATAGGCAACCTTGGCATATTGGTTTCAGTACTGGGGAACATTGCATAGCATAGCGCAGAGGTGGGGAACTCCGGCCCTCCAGCTGTTGTGGAACTACTAGTCCCTTGAGGTATTGCAAGTCTTTGACAGCCACAGACATGACTCCTAGAGGCTGAAGCATGATGGAATTTGTAGTTTCATTGCCCAGGTTGCCCACCCCTGCTGGTAAACATGCATGATACATAATAGGCGGCCCCAGATGAGAAGACGTATCTGGTAAAATTCATGCCTTTGACAGTTTTGCAGTAAAGCCCGATGAGTATATATTGTTTGCCGTGCGTGCAGCGACTTTATCTGCGCTGGTCTCATAATACACTAGTTAAAAATTAATTGAAAGTAAAACATGTGGCCTGGTGATAAGCCGCTCGGATAAAGCGTGCAGTAAATATAGAAACTGTTAAATTGTCAGACTGCAGGATGGTCTCCATTATCTTACAGAGCAGACATTGTTCCAGCCAGCATTTCATTGCTCTGCTTGCTTAGTTGTCCTTCTTTTAAAGAAGATTTCCCAAAGACTTTAAAATCCCTTTCCTCCCTCCATGTATAGAGCTGAAGAAGCCTCTCGTGTTTGGCCAAAATTACTTTTTGTATTTCCAGGACTAAGACACTTGATAAGTGTTATATAACGATTGATATACACTATATTGCCAAAAGTATTGGGACACCCCCTCCAATCATTGTATTCAGGTGTTCTGTGAAATTTCCTTGCTACTAAACATTCCGCGGTCACCTGATAGTGGTATTATAACAAAGTGGAAGCAACTGGGAACAATAGAAACTCAGCCATGAAAAATGACAGAGCGAGGTCAGCAGATGCTGAAGTTCTCAGTGCGCAGAAGTCGCCAACTGTCTGCAGAGTCAATAGCTACAGACCTCCAAACTTTTTGTGTGGCCTTCAGATTGGCACAACAACAGTGCGTAGAGAGCTTCATGGAATGGGTTTCCATGGCCGAGCAGCTGCAGCCAAGCCTTACATCACCAAGTGCAATGCAAAGCGTCAGATGCAATGGTGTAAAGCACGCCGCCACTGGACTCTAGAGAAGTGGAGACGTGTTCTCTGGAGTGACGAATCACGCTTCTCTGTCTGGCAATCCGATGGACGTGTCTGGGGTTGGCATTTGCCAGGAGACCGGTACTTGCCTGACTGCATTGTGCCAAGTGTAAAGTTTGGTGGAGGGGGGATTATGGTGTGGGGTTGTTTTTCAGGGATTGGGCTTGGCTCCTTAGTTCCAGTGAAGGGAACTCTTAAGGCATCAGCAAACCAAGATATTCTGGACAATGTCATGCTCCCACATTTGCGGGAACAGTTTGGGGATGGCCCCTTCCTGTTCCAACATGACTGCGCACCAGTGCACAAAGCAAGGTCCATAAAGACATGGATGAGTGAGTTCGGGGTGGAGGAACTTTACTGGCCTGCACAGAGCCCTGACCTCAACCCGATAGAACACCTTTGGGAGCGGAGACTGCGAGCCCAGCCTTCTCGGCCAACTTCAGTACCTGACCTCACAAATGGTCAAACATTCCCATAGACACACTCCTAAACCTTGTGGACGGCCTTCCCTGAAGAGTTGAAGCTGTTATAGCTGTAAAGGGCGGAGCCAACCCAATACTGAACCCTACGGACTAAGACTGGGGGGCCATTAAAGTTCATGTGCGTGTAAAGGCAGGCGTCCCGATACTTTTGGCAATATAGTGTATCTCTGGTATAAAGATCTTCCGATTGATCAACTGAACTACAGGCAACACCATTGCTGCAAGTCTGCCATGGTAACACACCCAGTATTAGCGGTGTATTCAGTGTGTGAATATCTGAATTATTATCAAATAGATCAGATTATAGATGTATGGTGCATGTGATTGCTTCTGTTGTCCCCTAAAGTTATGAATGCCAAACACTCATATCCTGCAGATAGTCTGTTGCAGGCAAGGCTTCAAGGCAGGGGTAGGCAACCTTGGTACTTTAGCTGTGGTGAAACTACAAATCTCATGTGGTATTGCAAGACTGACAGCCAAGGCATGACTCAGAGGCATGATGGAAGTTGAAGTTTCACCGCAGCTGGAGTGCTAAGGTTGCCTACCCCGGCTATAAGGCAATAAGCAGAACAGTCAAGTTGCCCAGTCTGGCCACAAATTGGCAGGTTAACTAAATATCCTTGACCTTGTTTAACGGTGGCCCTGAAGTGAGATTGCCCCAGGGGGAATAAAAGAATGGTCCCAAAGTTGGTGGCCAAGTAGGTGTTAAAAGTAATCCCATTTTGAGATCAGTTTGATAAATATACCACGTACACAGATATTGATTAACATAGATGTGCGCATTCAGCAATTGTAGACTAATGGCTATATGAAATTAGACATCCACTAATCCAGGCAAGTGGTCAACATTTTAAGAGCCCAAGCATCTGTTTTCATGAAAAAAACCATTAGATCTCTGCATTTTCAGCTTTTTTGTTTCTGGGGTGGGTGCAGATACGACGGAACGGTCCAGCCATCTTTGTGATCTTGAATATAATGTTGCATTGTGTCACTGTTGACATTCGTTTCTTATTGCAGCAAAAGTACTTTGATTCCGGAGACTACAACATGGCAAAGGCCAAGATAAAGAACAAGCAGCTGCCATGCGCCGGGCCGGATAAAAACCTAGTCACTGGCGATCATATCCCAACGCCGCAGGACCTTCCGCAGAGGAAGTCTTCACTCGTTACCAGCAAGCTAGCCGGGTAGCACGCCCCTGTAGACCGGACATGTCCGCAGTCCACTGTACCATAGAGCTGGGATGGCTGGACTCTCACATTAACACATCACCTTGTCAGTGCTGGAAGGGCCGGTGCCTCATTGTCCTCCAATGCTACACTGGCCGTTCCTCGCTGAGAATAAGCTTCTGATCGTTTTTCCAAGCAAGCCAGCAAGACCGCCGCCTGACTAGAGACTTGCAGTGGGTGATGGACAAAGTGTGATGAGTTCCTGGTGCAGACATATTGGCTAAGACAATTACCTGACTGTTGTTATATAGTGTAAAATATATCTATGGGTTTTGCATTCCTTTGTGTGTGTGACACAGGCATGCCAGAGACTTGTCACAGTGGCGATATTGCCACCCTTGGAGAGCTGACCATGTGAGTGAACGGAGTGGAATGTCTTCTGTGGCGAGGTCCGCGGCTCCCCAACAAGGCCTCGGCTGGATGAGAAAAAACAAACCTTTAAAAACCGTCAGACCTTTCAGTGGTGTAAGATAATAGAGAGCGTGAAAATCTACTCTGTATCTGTGAGCTACTACGGAAGCCAAGGGATGTCATAAAATCCCTTACGTAGGCTTTGTCTGTCTCTTGTGCAAATGGTACATTGTGATGAGCCTGTATCTTTGCCCCCCGTTTATAATAATGCCACATGGATCTACAAAAAGTAAAAACTGACACCCTCACAATTTTAAAATGTACTCTGTGTGGTGGTCCTGTGCTTTAATTAAACAGTTTCCCTTTTAAGTGATGTGTTCTTTTTAGAGGTGGTATACTTGTGCTTGGCGTAGACAGCCGTATTCAGCATTACAGTGTATGTAAATCCTAAGGGCTCGTGCCTTTATTGTATACAGTTTTCTTAAAGGGTAAGTTCATCTTTTTACAAAATGTAAAAAAAATTTACTTGCAGACAGCAGCCTCCCGACCCCCACCACTCCATGCTGCACCTTCTGTGGTCACCACTGTGATGCCATTGTAGTGATCCATATGCTAGAACTGACAGCCCCACAGTATGGAATAATCATAATGCTCTTAGATCAGCGCGGTCACATGAAAACTGAAACGCTATGAATGCTGGCCATTTTAGAGCAATATAATTATTCCAGACTGCTGGGCTGTCAATTCTAGTGTATGGATCACTTGGTTTACATACACTTTAAGTTCGCTTACACGGAAATGCACATCCATAAAGCATGCATGTCTGTGCAGAGACCTGCGCCCCGGAGGGATAGGTGCAGCCGTCTGTACATCTGACAGGATAAGGCTACACTGTGACCCGAACTGGCAGATCTCTACATGTCCAGGTGCACACCCTTGGACTCAGAAAGTGTGCGTGGAAGACCATGTTTCTGTACGGATGTGCAAGTTCGGGTCATTCGGCTACATGCAGCACCTGTCCCTCCTGGGCGCAGGTCTCTGCACAGACGTGCACGCTGTACTGCTGTGCGCATTCATGTAAATGCGGCCTTAACTGATGATATGAAGTATGCTGCTGCAGGCGAGTTCCTTATTTTACGAGGAACAAAAACAGTTCTAGTTCTAAACCAGTTCTAAACCCTCAGTTCTAAACTATTTCAAGTATAAGCAGCTTGACAAGTGGCCTCTCCCAATATAATGATAGTTTACTACAGTCTTTGGTAATATCACTACCGTGTCATATCAAAGACTCCACCCCTACTGGATATATGACAACTGACATGAAATAGTCACCTGCACACCACCATCTCCTTCATAAACAAAACACCTTTATTGATGCTTCATCATAAATATATCCCAGATACAGGTGCCACCTTTTCAGTGTCCCTTCATCAGGCATACATTGCCCGATAAAGGGACCCTGTGTGACCCTGAAATGCTTCGCCTGTATCTGTGATATGTTTATGTTGAAACATCAGTAAAGCTCTTTTGATTGAATTAAGAGCATTTAATTATCACCTCTCGAGATCCCCAGGTATAAGTAACTCCAGTTCCTGATAGAGAGTACATGATTTGCATTAAAGTAGAACTAAATTTTTGGATAGATAAAGGAGAGTTATAACATACATTAAAAAAAACAGTGCGGCCTCTATGTGTAAAAAAAAAAAACATTGTTTATTAAGTAAAAAACAGGTATATCTACTCACAGGAAGGGGGCGTGCCCCGGAAGCACATAAACCTGGCTCACAGCGGCCGGTAGATTGTTTGATGTGACAGGAGGCTGCTGTGTTATTTAGTTTGGGTGGAATACTTCCTTTTGACTGACAGGGTGGCTAATTAAGGCGTTCTAAAATGTATCTTGTGAGGTATATATACCTGTTTTTTACACATGCAGGGCGGCGCTCTGTTTTTTTATGTATGTGATAGGAATCCCTGATCCCTTGGATGAGCAGCCCCTTGAGAGTAGGAAGATTTGGTACTGATGGGGGATTGCCTGTGGCTACCATTCAAGCGCTAAGAGAGACAGAAACTTTTATTTAGTGTTGTAACATAACCTGTTGGCTTTTTTTTTTTGCCATCTCTGTCCCATTGTGAAGACTTCCATTCACTTCCTGTTCTATAGCCGCAACAGGAATTGAGAAGTAATCCCTGATGATCAGCAGGGTCACCAGAACTAGTGTCCCCATTGGAAGATTTCTCATCTATTCTTGTTCTGGTGTCAACCCAAAATCTGGGATTTTCTTTCGATTTCAGTTTTAACGGTCAGCAGGACCAATAGGCAGGTGAATCTCCCTAACGGGGTATTCTTGTTGTGGAGACAACCCAAAATCTGGGATTTTCTTTCGCTTTCACCAGGACCAATAGGGAGGTGAATCTCCCTTACTGGGAAACAGATGGTACTAAAAACCTGACACCAGTTCTAACCCCTCTCTACTCTATCCAAAATTTAGAAGAAGTGTCTTCAGTTGCACTTTAACCAACAACTATTTTGTGTTCTTTGATCAGTATTACCAGCAAGTCCAGGGCACAGCCATGGGAGCTAACTTTGCTCCCAGTTATGTGAATCTGACCACGGGCACTGCAAGGACTTTGTATTCGGAATAATACCCCTTTTTATACCCCATGTCGTATGTTCTGGTCCATTCATTGATTTATATCATTATTCGGGGTGGTCCAGAGGAAGTTCCATTATCGCTGGTTGTACACTGTAATCGGAATGATTGTAGTTTTTCGTTCACTCATGTTTACAATACTTCCTTTTAGATTCCGATTTATTTTTTGATGATGGAAACATTTTATCCAAAAAAAGGAGGGACTCTTTGGATAACTTTATCCACCCTAAGGGGATAAATAATGTCCCCAATTTTGATGGCTGTACCTGGAGCTGCCCAGAGGACTATAAAGAGCAAAGTGAAATTCTAAAGGAAAAGGTTTGAGATCGAGCTATACTGCAGATGTGGCTGCAACGGCATATTCATACTACATAGAACCCCCCCTCCCTTTAAAGTGTCATTAAACCCTCAGATTTTTTAACACAAAACAATACTGTAATGTGCGCCTTACTGTAATCCATGGTTGTTTCCCTTCTCTTTGCTGCTCTTCCTTTTTAAATCCTTATCTCTTCTCATGCTCTGCAGAACTTCTGTTTTGCAGCAGACTGCCTTGTCTCAGGAATGGATACACGGTGTCTGTGTATAGGTTTGTATGGGTTTGTAATCTGAGCCAGCACTACAGGAAGAGGCCCTGAGCTGAAAAGGGAAGTTCTGCAAAGCATAAGAAGACATGAGGATTTAAAAGGAAGAGCAGCAAAGAGAAGGGAAACAACCATGGATTACAGTAAGGCGCACATTACAGTATTGTTTTATGTTAAAAAATCTGAGGGTTTAATGTCACTTTAAGAAAATGGATCAAAATAATCCCCAGAGGTATGATAGGAAATGTATTGATTGTTGTTTTATTTAAAAACAAATCTGCATTTGTGTATTGAATTTCCATGCGTTCTATCCCACTCCTAATAACCATATCCGTCTAGAAGTTTGTAAACGTATTGAAGATTCTCATAGGATGGACTTCCTCACTGCAGTGCCACAACTACAACTCGGCATCTGAACAATGTGACATTATCATTACTTGCTGGAAGCAATGCATGATGGGATATGCAGTCTTCAGAAGAGAATTTGAGATTGCATCACATCAAGCAGCAGGGAAAGAGATGCAAAGCCACACTGGGACTCCAGGAAGTCGTTGAAAGTGAGTTCTACATTCAAAGAAAGAAAAAAAAAAGGAAGTCACCCTGCAAAAGAAAGAAGATTTCAGTAGAACTGAAGCCAAAACTTGTTTGGCGGCACAAGGTCAATGTTGTCAGCACAAGCATCAAACCCAAGCTCATCCCTAGTAAGGCATCTTCTGTTGTACATTAAAAAAAAAAACTATTGGGTGTCCCTCCTGAGGTAGCATTCAGTTCCCCCTTTGAGGTTTTGGCTTTTGGCCAGGGCTCCAACCTCAACGACGAGCCCCGCCTTTTACTGATCCCTGTCCAATTAGAGTGCTTTGCTTCTTTCTATAGTACTAACAACCAGATTGCACTTGAGCTGTCCAATAGTCCTCTTATCAGCCTGTGCTACCACAAGCTGACATGCCTCCTGCCCAGCCACGCAGAGCTTGATGGGGGCTTCTGGCTGAAGGTTTGTTTTTCACTCATTTATCATAACTACTCCCCCCACTCTGCAGAAGTGTGTCGGAAAAGGAGTGATTGTGGTCACGTGACCGCAGAAGAAAGTTTGGGTCTACTTACTGTTCTAAGGTACTTGGGAGCCTGTTGACGATGTACAGCTGTCCCATTCTTTCCTATGTGGCTTATTTCCATGCTTTGCAGGTAAATTCTGGCCCATTCACATCAACACACGTGTTACCATGCACGCCGCATGTACATGGAACAGTATGAATCCAGCCTTAGAGATTTTGGAGCACTTATTCTGTGACAGACTCCTTGTAACATACATACTTCACTTATACCCAAATGTATGCTTTAAAGTGTAACTCACTTTTCATACTATAAAATACCCGGATGTATAGGTGACTAAGGAGAAGGAGCAAAAATACTTGCTTTCTGAAGGGGGTGGCTGTGGTTCTTTTACTACCCAACATCAGACCCATCCTTGTCATTTGCCACCCTCCCCAAGCCTAAATCTTTTAAATGGGTGTCAGTGATCTGATGGATCATGCATGTCTGGCCCCCCATTCACCTTGGGGCAGGTAGATGATGAGGACGGAGCTGCTGTATAGTACCTAAGGACTACGGGCCCTACAGGCCAGCAGCTGTTGGAGGTTTTCTGATTATACTCACTACTCTGGTAAAACGTTTGTCCTCAGCATATAGGAAAACACTATTCATTCCCTCAAAGTGAAAAGAAAACTGTTTCATTGAGAAAACATTGTGGATGCTTCCTCTGTACACATTTTCTATGTACATCACTTTAATTCTTTATATAACGGTGAACCTGCAGTGTTCTGTGATCTTGCATTTGTGTTGGTGGGACTGAAAGAGCATTATAGGGCAGCAAATGAATGCAGTCAATGAGTTATTATGCAAAAAAAAAACAGTGTAAAGGTCGCTGCTTTGCCTCCATCTGAGAGCTCACTAGAGCCAAAATCCAAAGAGCACTTTGCAGGGTCAGTGGGAGCGCCCATCCTGAAGCCTCTGCTGTGTAACATCTCTGCCCTTTACTGTATCAACAAAGTCACGTCTGAATCTGATTGGAGGCTGTTAGAAACTCTTTAGTACAGATATATATATATATACACACAGGTCGAAAAAAATGAAATG